CGGGCCTTTGGCAGCATCTGCCCCAACACGATCCAGGGTCCGCCCGCCCGCCTCGCCAAGAAGCCGGCCTGGCCTGGCGGGGGGGGGGGGGGGGGCCCCCATCCTGCCCCTCTCCCGTCCTGCAGCCCTGGGCAGGCTGGAGCTGGTGGGCGGGCAGCAGGACCCCGTGCTCTTCCCAACGCCCCCCTCGCTCCCGCAGGATCACCGTCCATGGGCAGAGCTTCTCCAACCTGCAGATCCGCGGTGAGGCTGCGGTCACACGTGGGGCAGGGGAGCTGGGACGGTGGCACAGGCAGGGGTGGCTCCTGGGGGCTCCGTGGGAGAAGGCGCCGTCTCTGCTGTCCCTGCCCCGTCCAGTGGGATGGGGAGGTTTCCTCCCAGTCTCAAGACATCGGGGATTCCTGGGCTGTCCCAAAGCAGGGGACGAGTGTGCCATGGCCACAACCCCAAAGCTGAGTGTGTCCCCAAGACCAGCAATGTCCCTAAGACCTCCCACGCCACCGTGACCCCACTACCAGCCACATCCCCTACGCCAGTGACATCTCCAAGGACAATTGTGTCCCCAGTGCCAGCTGTGTCCCCAGGGTCAGCCCTGTCCCTGTGCTCAATGACTTCCCAAAGCCACAAATATCCTCATGCTCAACCGCATCCCCAAGATCAAACACATCCCCAACCACATCTCCAAAGTCAACCACATCCCCAACCGCATCCCCAAGGTCAACCATGTCCCTAATGCCAACCGTGTCCCTGAGGCTGGCCGTGTCCCCAGGGTCACTGTCTCCATGGTTCAGGGTTTTCCAGCCCAACCTCTTCACTTTGGGCCCCTCCACTTGAGCACGGCTGGAGGGGCCGTACCCTGGGCACTGGGTGACCGCCGTGTCCCGCCCGTGTCCCCTAGAGACCAGCCTGGACACCAAATCCATGTCAGAAGCCCAGGTGAAGAGGAGCATCGTGGTCAAAACTGTGGAGACCAGAGATGGAGAGGTGGGAAATCCTCATCTGTGTCCCCCTCCACCCCCACCTCCCCACGAGGTGTCCCCAAGGGGTCACTTGTCACGTGCATGGGGCCATCGTGTGCAGCCCGGGCAGGGAGCAAGTGACCCCAGTGCCAGCAGTGTGAGACAGCTCTGGACCATGGTGGAGCTGAGCCTGGCAGCTCATAGAGAAAACTGTCCCCATTGCCGTCCCCATCGCCGTCCCCAGAGCCCAGGCAGGCTCAGACCCGAGCCGGGGTGATGGTCCCTTTCCCTCTGCCTCCAGGTGATCAAGGAGTCCAAGCAGGAGCACAAGGAGGTGGTGTAGGGCGCCCGAGCCGCAGCAGCCGCACGCTTGTAGCTGTAGCCCCGTAGGTCCCATCCGATGCTGTGAGGGAGCCCCGTGGCCAGGCATGGGTGACAGGAGGAGCCGGTGGTGGTTTGGTGGGGGACATCTCCCCCTCCCCATCCCCTCGCCTCTCCATCCACGCTCCCCTGCTCCCCCTGGACCAGCACATCCCACCCAGGGCCATCGCCCAGCCCGGTGTTTGCCTGCAGCCCCATCCCCACCTGTGATTCACCTACTGACCACGAGTGAGACCTGCCCCGATGCCACCCAGCGTGGCAGCAATGACCCCGCAGTGCTTCTTGTCCCCCCGAGCCCTTCAAGACGAGCACACAAGGTGCCACTCGGGTACCACCCCCTCGTCTCCTCTGTCCCCCAAGGGTGCTGCCCAGGGTGGGATGGGGTGGCTGGGGGACTCGGTACCCTGCGAGCAGCCTCCGCCTGGAGCTGTGCAGCCCCCGTTGCTGCTGAACTTGGGCACTGATGCCCACGGCAGCTGCAGATGAGAAATAAACCCAACGCTTCCCCGGCCGTGCCTGCAATCCTCTCCTCTCTCAGCGCCGGGGGAGGGTTGGGATCAGCCGGGGCAGAGAGGCCCTTTGGGAGCCCAAACTGAGCTCAGAGCTGCTGGGGACGCAAGCCCAGAGCTGCACCCCAAGGCATGGCCAGTGCTGCATGGGCCAGCACCCAGCAGGGGTTGCAGCGCAGCAGGGGTGGGTGCCGCAATGACCCCTGGCAGTGGGGTGGGAGAGGGAGGGGAAACAGGGATCTGCTCGGGGGCTTCGGCCCCAAACCCAGCTCCTTCCCTGCATGAACCCAGGGCAGCTCCTGGGATGGGGCTGCAGCTGAGGGACCGATGGGGGATTCGGGATCCTGCACAACACCCGCGTGGTTCAGGGTCCTGAGCATCGCTGGGACCCTCGAGGCTGTGCCCCTGGACCCTGGGATTTCCCTTGGGAAAGCCCAAATCCCCAAGCCACGGCCTTGGAAAGAGCAGCTGAGCAAAAAACAACGAAAACCCAGGACGTTTCTGAAGAAAATCAGCAGATTAAACTGAAAAAGGTTTTTTTTTGTCCTTCCAAAATGAAAAATGTTTAAACCAACCTTTTCAAAGCTGGGTTTGCTCCAGCCAAGGAGCTCAAAGGAGCATTGACCGTTCTGAAACATTGGCACTCAAACTTGTCTGCAATGGACAAAAGTAAACTGAAAGGGTGGGAAAAGCAAGAATCAGTTGGGTTACAGCAGTTTGCTGGGTCTCTTTAGCAGCCTCTTAATCAAACAGCTCTAATAAATCACCAGTGCGGTTCGAGAGCTCAGGGGAGCTTGGCCGGACGCTCTTGCAGCACTCAGGGCTGTTTCCAAAGGGCTGTATTGAGCTGCCAACACCAGCGCTGGGTGAGGAATCCCCCTCGTCCCCGCTGAGCCGTGTCCTGCGGCACCACCGGGAGCCCCCGCGCTGCTCCTCGGCGCCGCGCTCCACGCAAAGGGAGGAC